GCAGTGTGGCTGGCAGATGCAGGGACCACTGAGAGTCCAACTCCAATCCCTCACATAGCAGAAGGATAAAAGGAACCTGGTGCTCTGTGCTCTCCACAGAGTGAGCTCCGAGTCCACAGAGTGGACCGTTTCCCTTGGATTGCAAGGGTCAGGTCAGATCCGGAGAGAACAAGTAACAGCAATTTTTGGCTTTGCTTTCTTCACCCTGGAGAGCCCTAACAAGCTCCATATAATGATCTTGTCACCCAGCTATTTCCATGAACAAATAAAAGGGACTAATTACCCAGGACAACCTGTCAAAATGAAGCCTGCAACTTTGCTGCCATAATCCTTAGATTAGGAATGGAGGGAGCTCCTGGGAGCTGGAGGGACATTTAGTGACCTACCGATCACCAAGAACATTGCCAGCTATCTGACCCAGGCAGAGTGTAATGGGAACACGCAGGTCTAAGGCAGAGCTTACTGTGTGCTGGGTCTTGTCATAATGTCTAGCAATTCCAGCCCTCTGGCATCATCTATGGCTGTACAGAGAAGCTGATGAAAGTTGCCACTGTATCTCTGTCACATTAAAAAAAGTCATATATTTCTATGCACACAAAATATCTGCGGATAATTTTAGGGAGCCAGAGCCTCTAAGGCTCACACATTAAACCCTTTAGATGCTATACCGCTCTCTGCTCTGCCATGTTCACAGCCTCTCTCTGATACAAATCAAACCTCCAGCAAAGCAAGGTTTTTGCATTAATGGGGGACAAAGCTAAAAGGGCTGGGAGCCAACACCCATGCACACAGCAGAAACCAAATGAGCCGGCTGCTGTAAAATTGGGAACCCAGCAAAGGTTTGTGTTGTAGCTCCTGGCCTCGCTTATCTGTCCGCTCCTCTTAGCCCCGCCCCCTTTCTGCCTCTCCATCTCTGTTATTCCTCAGTGGTTGAGTGTATAAAGCCAACACTCTTTTGTCCTGGTTCGCCTGCTGTGGAAGGTTCTAGAATCTCATCATCATCAACCTAAGCCTGTGTCTCCTTTGAGACCTTGAGCTCAGGCTGTTGGGGACCTATCACAAAGCAAGTGGAGCCCTTCCCTTTCAGAGGGGCCATACAAATAACCTATTTCTCTTTCTCAAAACTTGGTCTGCTGGCCACCTGTATCCAGAGACTACAGATAATGCAGATTCTCATGCTACATCCCAGACACCTGGAACCAGAGTGGGCCGGGCAGTAAATACTCTTAGAAAACAGGTCTTTTTCATTGACTTCTCTGAAAACTACTTTATAGAGTTTCAACTCCTTTCCCAAATCAAACCAAGTTACCACAAAGGTCCATACCTGGACCCTAACTCTTTAGGTCCACAAAGTCACGCTGAATTACCCGGAAGTGAGGGTTCAGAGTGCATCCTCTGATTGCCCTGCATCTCTCACAGAAGTGTTATTAAAGATGCTTCCTGCTACCGGCATAGCTGACGATTTCACTTGTTTAATACTTCTGAACAAAGTTTAACATTGGAAGAAAGATTTGCCAAGACAAACCAAGAAAGGAAACACCTCCGATGTTTCCTTTCATTATATAACGAGAGTGGAAAAGCACAACTTACTTTCATTTTCACCCAAGAAGCCCAGAGCTCAGTCCAGGTATTTACAATTAGCGCTGGATTCCTGGGTAGTGTTTTTTGAAATCGAGGCCCCTACGAATATGCCACTCACTTACATACCCACCTCTGATTCTTTTCTCCTGGTTTTAAATGCTATTTAAACATCCCCGAGCCATTGAAAGCTGTTGCTAGTGTTCTCTGCAGTGCTGGTGTGCACAGATCATTTCTAGTAGTAACTGCAGTTCGTAACACTGTTTTAAAAAGCAACAGCCAAGAGGCAGTGATGTTGGATCTGTTCCATCCTTGTTCTTGCTCAGCCGTGTTTCCTTAGGCTGCTCAATATTCCCTCTAGACCTGGCTTCATCCATACAGAAAAGGATGACTTTCTGGACCTTTCATGCCTCTCAGTTTCCACCTCGGGCCTCACATCATCTTGTCAGTAGGAAGACCATATTGTCACCCCTGAGGAGTGACTTTGATCTGCTGAATTATGGGTCATGAAACAATGATGACTTGGGAAGACAGGCCATGGAGCCCGAGATGCTAGTCCTGGTCCCTGGTCTTGGGGTCATAGCAGAGAGAGGCCAGTGTAGGCTGTGCCAGCTACACAGAGGGTGTGTTGGCAGTGGTGAGAAAAGGCTAGGATTAGAATTAAAGCCAGTCAACCAAAAGTATACCGGCTTTAATTCAAAATATGTTAGAGTATCTCAGAGTAAGTTATATTTTCTTAATCCTGTCTTTGTCAAATTTACAAGACAAACAATAGCTAACTGTTAGAATTTTTTAAATGTTTCATCTCAAAAGAAGAAGCGTTTAAGATGATGGATATACTAGTTAGCCCATTTTGATCATTATACAGGCTGTACACATATTAAAACTTGCAATTATTATTCAACAAAAAAAAAGTAATGCAAGGTGTGGTGTGGTGACCCCATCTGTAACTCCCGAATCCTGGAGGCGGAGGCAAGCAATCAAGACCAGCTGGAGCCATATGGTAACTCCTCACCATTACCCCAGGCAAATCAAATAGTAAGTTAGCTACACATTTACACCTCATTTTTCAGATTTGAAAGTTGAACAATCATGGCAGGATCATAGCTATGCAACGCTATTCTGTGTCTGCTTAACTTTTTATTAGATTCCAGCACCAGCTCTTGGGACCACCCTGTCCTTATGGTTTGTTGGCTGAGGTAAGATACTTATCTGCTCGCAGTCTCTGCAGCACAGCACTGGCCTCTGATTTTGAATGGTGCACATTTGGGTTCTTTGGTCCAGGAACCGCCCCTGCCCCCACCCCACTCCACAGCCCTGTGTTTCCATGGGAAGGCTCCTGCCAGAAGCAGCAGTCTTTCGGGAGAGAATGGCCCAAGTCACACAGAGCTGAGGTCAAATTCCAGAGATGGTGGTGGGAACGTTAACGAACCCCAAGCCGCTATTTCTCTCATGAAGGTGTGGAGAGCTACAAATGGCTGCCAAATATCCTTGTGGAACAATTTTTCAAAAACCTGATTTTTCTTCCCTTTTGGGATTAAGAAATACGACAGCTACAAACCTAAAATAGCCATTAAAATTTTGTGGTAACATCTTTTGGGCTTTATCGACGGTCACCATGCAGGTCCCCGACACAAAGATCCTTCATTGCTGGGAACATCCACAGAAGAATTTAAAAAATTGAATTGGAGCCAGGGCTTCTGTTTCCTTTTATTGAACAGTTTCAAAGAAATTCTCTAAAGAATGAATGCCTCCCAAAGTTACAAGTAGCTGTCAAAAGAAATAACATGGAATTATTCCTTTACTCTAAAGAAAAAGCCACCGTGAGATGCAGACAACTAAAGGCATTGAGACAAACTTGAGCAGAACCTAATCTTAGACAAATATTAGGTTTCATTTATTACTGTGCAAGCTTGTGTCAAAAGGCAGCTCTGACTTTAAAAACTAGATACAGGTTAAATATATTTATCTCAAGTTCACAGCCCAAGAGGGTCATCCTCTTTAATCAGGAGTAAATTTTACTTTAAGAGAGGGACAGATGTGTCACAGATGCGCCTACTCAACATTATGTTGTTTTTCTATTGTCCAGTGGTTGTGCATTATTCCGAAGGGGCAGCTCACTGATGCTGGGTGATTTTAAAGTCCACTACCTCCTTACCCGGATCTCTGTTAAGGTGGCACTGGATCCCTATTACATTTGTCTGGGGCAGCGAGCAAACGAACAGCCATGACAGATGGGTGTTGATGGCCTTACTCCAGGCGGTTTGTCCACCTCCAAATAACAACAGACCCTGGGACTGCAGGTTTGCAGAAATCTCACGGCAAAGGGAAATCTTGGCTCCCGTCCTCCAAACAATTCTGCACCACTAATGTGACCCGGGAATGGAGACGCTGGTTTTCGATGGCCATTTTCCAAGGTCAAGTAGAGACTGGTTGCCATTCTTTATACTCATACACTCAGCAAATATGGATTGAGTTCCCATATGGCAGACATTAGTCTAGGCGTTGGGCATGGAGCAGTGACAAACTTCCTGTTATTCTGGCGCTCCATCACAGTAGAGAGAGAATGAATATCACCTTTATGCACTGGGCTGATTTGTTTTCTGTCAACTCGAAACAAATTAGAGCCAGCTTGGAAGAGGGACCCTCTGTCGAAGAGCAGTCTCTATCACTCTGGCCTACGGTATGCCTATGGGGCATTTTCTTGATTAATTATCGATGTGGGAGGACCCAGCTCACTGTGGACAGTACCAAGCAGGTGGTCCTGGGACGTATAAAAAAGCAGGCAGAGCAAGCCATGGGGAGCCAGCCAGTAGCATCATAGGGCCTGACTTCCCTCAATGATGAACTGTGACGTGGAAGGGTAAAGCACATAAACCTTCTCCTCCCCACATCAGAGTGTATATCACAGCAACAGACAGCAAACTAGAGCAGGCATGACGCTAAAGCAATGCATAGGTTAATGTATAAGCAAACCAGAAATTGAGCTAATGGTGTTGAATATGCAACAGAGAAGCAAAATAAATGATCTAAATATTAATGATTGGGCTTGGGTACTCATACAATGGTCCCCTGAGAGGCCAAGTCTCATATTAATCGAGAAGATAAGTGGTGAGGTACATGGACACAAGCCCTCCATGGACCAGAGAGATGCAGAAATGATCCATTTCTGCCTGGGTTGGGTTCCAACTCTGCGACTGAGTCCTCTGAGTTAGAACTCGGGTTCCTGAAAGAGCGGTGTTAACGTATGGTGATATCCGAAGGTAGAAACAATCAGTTCTCACATGGTTGTGAACTCCTGTTGGCTGAACAGCTGTCTGATAATATAAAAAGACAGAGAAGGCAGCCAGGAGAGTAGGGTGGGCTGGGCTGGTAATAACTGTGGAGGAGGGGAGTCAGTGTCTCGAGAGCTGGAAGCCCACGGATTCTAGGCTCTGGGGTCAGGTGGGACTCCTTCGTGCTGCTTGCCATTCATGTCCTTTCAGGGTTCTGCTAGAGCAGCAGCGTGAATGCACCCGCAGCCCTTCCTTCAAAGCTTTCCCAGCTCACAGAGTGGGCGGTAAATGGGCTAAAACGGAAAAGGGCTGTGTGGCAGTGCCCAAGCTTTACCTCTGGAAAGGGGTGAGGGAGAAGATGCTACGCGGTGGCAGTGAAACATGGGGACATGATAGCAACCCGTGCATGGGCCTTGTGCCTTGACAGTGGATCTTCCCCAGCCAACAGAGCACAGATGCACTTTTTAAAACAATGGTGTCTTGGGGATAAAAGCAGCCCCCGTGACTGTGAAGAAATCTGGAGAGTAGTACTCGGGTGAACTAGAACTGAGGAGCTGCAGAGCTGCGGATGGAGCCTGTCGGCAGCCATGTAAAGGTCTGCAGGATGTAAAGGAGGCTGCAGCCGTGGCTGGGAAGACGGAGACCTGCAGGGATGCTGAAAGCAGAAAGCAAAGCTCCAGCAGCAGCAGTGAGAGTGGATTGAAGCAGGAAGACAGAGGAAGGCAAGACGTGAAGGAGGCCTGCCTGCAGGTGGAGGTCAGAGCAAGGTCATGAGATCTGCCCTCCAGGACAAAGAGGCTCTCTTAAGAGAAGAGAAGAGCTTCCCTCGGGTCTCTGCAGGAGTCTCAAAAGACAAAGGCAGATAGATACCCAGAATTCACAAGGCTACAGTGGTCCCTGGAGGCCAGTAGATGCCTTTTGCAAAAAGAACCCATGGCCATCAGCACACCTACACCTGCAGCCTGCTGGCTCAGCAGTTTACATTCGACCATATTGGATATCAGATTCTGATCATTTTCATATTTGCAGAGGTCTGAACTAAGCGGTCACTTGTTTCCATAATAGAGAAAGCCCAAAAGGCCTTTCCCGGAGCAGGAATCTGCACTGCTGCCTAAGTGAGGTCAAGCGGTCCTATGCTTGCTAATTTGTTTAGGGGAAAGCGAAGCCTATGGTTTCTCTGAAAATGAGGATTCTAGAAGGGCTTGCAAATGCGGGCGGGGTGGGGTCTGGGAACACGTCACGCGGTTAAACTGCTTGCTGTGCGAACCTAACTAAACGCCTGGTAAGTGTGGAGACCTGCATGTAATCCCAGCTGCTGAAGGCAGAGGAAGTGTCCCCCCCCCCATTTCAGCAATCTGCTCAGCAGAACCAGCCATGTCAGTGAGCTCAGGGTCCAACATACGTAGAGGGGCAGCTGAGGTTGATTACTGTCCCCAGCTTCCACACGACATGCCCACGCATGCACATGTGCCCACACACATGCTAACATGCATACATACATGCACATCACACACATACCTACACATGAAAGGGGAACTATCAAACGGCACGAGGAACAGTTTGTGGGTCTTCACCCGTAGAGTACAGGGATTGGCATGGACGTGTACGTGTATTCTGAAGTAGGCGTGGTTAAAAACAGTGGCTCTTAACTAATCTCCTTATTGACTCTCTCTTATTCCAAAGTCCATTCTCAGAAATGTTACCACAAGTGCAGTGTTTATAGCATGCGTATGAAAATGTATTGGCTCTAAGACCAAAGGTTAGAACTCAGGGTTCTTTAGTGATGTTTTTATACTCTGGGCAGAAGGGAACACTCTCCTGGTATTATGTGACATTACTGATCCTCTTCGGGTTCTGTGACATCACTGATCCCCTTCGGAGTCTTCCTCGCGTCCCTAACTTTAACTTTGGTCTCCTCCTATCTATATCTATGCTCGCCGCATCTCATCTGCCATATTCTCTTCAAATGCCATCTTTACACCATCAGCATATACGTTTCTTTACTCCTCCAGTCCTAACCCTCCATCGGAGCCCGAGTCAGAAGTCCCCCTGCTTACCGGACCTTCATTTGCATGTCACTGTCACCAAATCCTCACCTAAACATGTTCTGTCCCCATCGTGACAAGCTCACTCCTCTGGGAACTCTGAGGGTCGGCCTCGTACCTGGAACTCACCCCGAACTCTCAGCGGTTCCTGCTGGGGTTCTCTTCTGAACCCGTGCAGAGTCTGACGCCATGGCATCACCCTCCGCTAATCACCTTGGTGCTTCGTACTTTGCTAGAAGCTGTCCTGGCCTTTTTAGTCCCTTTCCCGCTTCTTCTCTGGCCCCCAGAGAACCAGAGAGCTCAGAACCCAGAGAAAGTCTATCGAAACTTCTCTCAGGCACCTCCCTGTTTCCAGACAGAAAGCCCACATTTTAACAGGGAGGCACACAACCTGCCGGTCTCCCCGACACCTCCCATCTCTCACCGTTCCACCCTGCGCTTGCCTCCACCTGCTCCCGCAGCACACCTGTGTGCTCCTGATATATTTAGCTTTCCATTTACACTTTCCAGAACGTGCTTCCCAGGTTCCCATGTGGCCTTTCCCAAATGGCACCTTCCCCTCCTACCTTTTCCTGACCATGCTAATTAAAATTATGACTGATAGACTATTTTAGGAATCTCTCATTTGCATCCTGCCTCAACAAAAGCAGTTATGAAAGGAAACGGCAGCCACCACCGAGATGGAGAACAAGGAGCTTGCAGTTGGGTCCTAGCTACACCATCAGCCAGCGTGTGCCCTTGGCTTTTTGATCCCTGAGCTTTGCTTCCTCATAACCATGATGGGAGCAGTGTCCTACCTGCCCACCAAACACTATGAGGTAATGTATATTCTGAGTAATTTTAAAGCGTGCATTCGACACAAAACAAAAATTATCTGGGCCCCCTTCCCTCCTCCCGAAGAATGAACCTAAGATGGCCTTAAAGAGGTGCGGCGTCCTTGGCATTCGCAAGAAGTTTACCTCTCAGACCGCACAATCCACACATGGCTGCAAATACCGTAGACTCCATCTCAATGTTCCTGACTCCGGCTTTGTATGCTCGCTTCAAGTAGTCCAGCTTCTTCTCTCTCGAAAAAGAACACAAGGCTCCATCTAGGCGGGCCTGGCCTGAAAAAGGACGGAGTGATTTAGCGGCTCATGTCCCACCTCAGTGGCAGTGTTGTTAGCGAAAGACTGCCCAGTGGTGCAGGGCTCTGCCTCTGTCTTCACCTCTGGAGTGATCCTCCCCTGGGGAATCAACCTGGCTGCTGAATCTTTTTTTCCAAAGAGAATATGCCCGCACCTGGCTCAAATCTCATAAAAGAAGGTAGAACATCCATATAGGGAAGAGTGCCCCAGCTCTAAAGGACAGCGGGGACATCAGGAGCCAGGTGAGAGGGTCACAGGGAAAGTTTTCCTTTGAGAAGAAACTCAGATTGTCCCAGTGGCAGGGGCCCCAGGCCAGGTGGAGACATGGGGCGGGCAGGGTGGTGGGGAAGAAGGGCTTCTTACCCTTCATGCCTCAGTGACGCTCCTGAGGCAAACGGTTTAGACACTGCCATGCTCTGTATGACCACCATGGCCAAACAGGCAAATGGCGTGTCCCTTGTCCCTCACAGACCTCTCAGGCTTCATGCTAACCCTTCGCTTGAGTTTTCCCTTCCATATTGTCCCATTATTTCGGGCTTACTTCACTTCAGTTGACCAGTGGGGACAGAAGGAGGTGGAGCACAGTCTGATGTTACCTCACCCCGTGCCTGCTGCCATGTGTACATCCTGAATTTTCCTACCCAGCGGTATCCGGATGGAAGCCAATTGCCATCCATTATTTGCACCATCCCTTCCGGAAGCCTTTCCTGTCCTTCGCTCCTATTCTCCGTGGCTTCTGTCCTGACAGTGAGCCTTTCCCTGTTCCTTCTCTCTTCTCCGGTGCTGCCTGCCAACACCTCTAACAGTGTTGTTTATGCTGAGGCAAACCCGAATGGCTCAGAAGCCATGGGTAACGCGAGTGGAAGGGTCTGCCTAGGCAGATCGGTGTGGCCTCACTTCACCAACCATAAGCAGCCCCAGATGTGGGCCAGGGTTTTCCAGGGCCGTCATGCATGGAGCATTTTGTACCTTTTAACGCTACTTTATGTCATTCGGAGAAGCCAAAAATCTGAATTTCTCATATGAACAGCTCTAGAAATTACAAATGTTGGCAAAATAATTCGCATTTGGAACAGTATCTCACGGGTCAATGGTAACACTGACGCCACCAGGCTTCGGTTTATGAGCTGTGACGCAAACGCACGGGTGGGTGACCCACTAAATGAAGGGCTTAAGAGGCGACATCCTAGAACAGTCTTAGTCTGTCCATCAGTACCTCAAACACCTTCGCTAACCTGAACAATGCAAAGAGAATACAATCTATCTCCCTGTATGGCTTTTAGATTCTTAAAGTACTACATAAACTTTGATATAGAGAAAAGTAAAAGATGATGAAATCTTAAGATTAGCTGTGATTATTCTATGAACACAATTACAGCACAAGATTTGTTGGAAGTCCAACGTACTGTGACATCAAGGTAGGGTAGATTCTTCTGTAATGAATACAGTCTGTCCTTGGGGCTTGTTGTGTCTTGTTTTGGTTTTGACTTGCCCCTCATCCCTTGGAACAAGAGCTGCTATTTGGCAATGACCTTCAAGTTAACTCTATGGAGACCCTATGTTCTTGGCTATGGGATAAAAGATCCACCCATTGGATCTGTTTAATTGAACTTTTCTCCTCAGTTCCCGGTCTTATTTCCTGCCCGGTGTTCAGGTGAATGGCAGAAGCATAGGACCAGCGTATTCCTCTGTCTTAGAGTTAGCAATCTAAGTAAAAGTCATGAGCAGAGAGAGAGAATGCTGTCAACATCACTAATTGCATTTTAGTATTCAAACTGATAGAGGATCAAACCCATTCTAAATATCAACTCATTCTGCATGTTTCTCAGCTGCTTATTAAGCCCTCATGGCGCTACACTTTAGTAAGTAAAAAGGCTATTTGTTGCCCCCTTGAAAATCTACATGATTAACTTGCTAGTATGCAGTTTTAATATCAACTGTGGGTTTGTATAACCAGCTGCCAGTATTTTCCTACTGCCTTCGCGGCGTGTACAGGATTCTCACCTTCGTAAAAGTCATAGGTACACATCGTGTGTCCGATGAGGGTTGGGAAGCTGAAGATTTCTCTGCTACAGTTGAGCAAGTCCATAGCCAGTTTCTTGTCAAGTTCAGTGTTTCGGGTGACCACGTTGTCCAGGATTACCTGCTCAAACCGAGGCTTGAAGAAGGAGTCTACAGCTGTATCTGTTATCACAACAGACCCGGGGGCAATCCCTGCAATACGGAATAAATAAGCGATCCCAGAAGATGGCGCAGAGTGACTTCTGTGACATGCAGTATGGAACCTACTCTGCCAACACGAATTAATGCTGTTTATTAATAATTGCCTTGCTTAAAATCTTTAAAAATATTTTTTTTCCCTGAAAGCCATCAAATAACCTTTAGAACAGACATTTTCATTGGCTGTCTACCCAGATTCGCATTTACAATGTGGTGGGGTTTAGATTTCAAGACAAACATGACTCTTGGATGTGCAAATTAGTGCCAGCCTTCAGGCTCAAACTTGAATAAATTAGGTCAGGAAGAAAGTAAATGAACCTGCCAGCAAGTAGCTTTCATAAAGTGATGTGACTACTTGATATTTAATCTCCCTGCAGACTCCTCGATTACTATAATTTCTTGGCAGCTCTCTCCACTCTTCCTTCAGATGCTCATCACATAGCCTCCTTTTCCTCCCGGGCTCCATGCAAATTAGGCCTCTTGGCTGACCTTCCCTTGCTGCAAAGTCTGCCTTGCTCAAGGGGCCTGGACCCACTGAGATGCCATTTTCTGTCAACTCCTCCTCTCCCTGCCTGGGTGTGTTCTTGCTCTCCCGACTCCTTTTCTTTACACTGACGCCAGCATTCCTCAGCTGCCATCCGGAGTCACTCCCTTCCAAAAGTCCTAGCCATGGGAGGGCTAACCAATGAAATAAGCGTAACTAAGTAAAAGGCAGCAAATATGGGTTACAGTGAGCGTCCACCTTTTGATTTGCCCTGATCTCTAATGAAAACCTGGGGAAGAAGGTGTATCTCGATGGTGCCCTGGGCAGCCTCTCTCTGAACACTCATTACACTGTTTACAGTCAATTTGTTTGTCTAGCTCTCTAGTGGAAGAATACAAGGTGTATCAAGTTAAAAACAGTGCCAGGTCATCGCCCTCTCCCCAGGTCTGGTGCTGTGCCTATCGCATCGTGAGTATTTGGTAGAAATGTGGTCAGCAAGCACATGCTTCTGTAAAGATGCTACACAACACAGGTCCGCAAACTCTGGTCCAAAGGCCACATGTCACTGTCCTAGTAAATGAAGCCTTGTTGCGGCATGACCACGCATTCATTCACATACTGTCCTTGCTGAATCTGAGCTATGGCGTGGCATTGAGAACTAGCAACAGAAAGAGCATAGTGTGCAAAGCCCAGCACTTTTACTATCTGGCACTGTACAGAAAATGTTTTAGCGACCCTGGATATGGACTACAGACTCATCCTGGTTTAGGATAAATTCCAATATGCCAAACTAGAGTTAATTACAGAACACTTTAAATTTCCACCTAGACACCCAAGACAACTGTCCTGTTTAATTTCTGTTGTTGAAATACAACATCGTGACAGGGAGACCAGGTTTATGTTGTTTACAGTTGCAGGTTATTATCCATCATTATGGGGAACTTAAGGCAGGAAGTAGAAGCAGCCGGTCTCAACCACAGTCAAGAGCAAAGAAAAAATTAAATGCACATGTACTTGCTTGCTTGCGCTCAATTCCATTTCCCTCCTCTTACACAATTCACAACCCCCTGCCTATGGTCACATCCACATCACTGAATTTAGTCAAGACATTCTCCAGATACACCCACAGGCTGACCCAAGGTAGATAATGCCTCTGAGACTCTCGCCAAAGGATGCTAGGTTGTGTCAAGTTGACAGAGGAAGCTAAACATCACAGTAGCCTCTGAAGGTATAGCTCCGTTTGGTAAGTTGCATTTTAAGTCAGCCAAAAATAAGGGACTGCTTACATTGTTCAGAATGTCCTGAGATGCTGAAAATATGTTTTCTTTACACTGCCGTGACACATAGATTCATCAAAGAAGCATTGGTAGCATTTTTGTCTTAAAAATGCACTTTAATTGCTTATATTTCCCTTATCAAAGTATTTTCTCAGTTAAGGAACTGATGTCAGCAAAAGAATAAGTAATATCTGTGTTTTCCATCTTCAAATACAGTTTCGCTTCAAACAAAACGGATGAGATTGTCTTAGTTATAGCATTAGTAATGAAGATGCAACTCTAAAATGAAGCTGTTTCCATCAGTATAACAGTTTAATGTGCTTCTGTTGACAGGCCTCCATCACGCTGTTGGTACTATCTTGTTGTTGTCTGTACCGTGTTATCATGGAACACAAGACCATGATCATGATTTAGATGGTCACTAGAGTGACTCATCATATCACTGGAGACTTGTTCATATCAAGTGACAATTGAAACAGTCAGGAGAACAGAATGTGGACCTGTGACCTCAGAAGACAAATCAGTGTATCCCACAAACCAAGAATTACAGTAACCATGTCTTTCCCAGGAATGCTGTTCCCTGAAACTGATTATTTGGGATGCTGTTGGGTAAACCACCATCTAGAAGGATGCTGATCAACACTGGTTGCTTATATTCTCCATTTCCATTTAAAAGAGGACCCACTAATGTTTGGGGTTTTTTTTTTGTTTGTTTGTTTGCCCACATATGCGGGGCTTTGCCTGTCTTTGTTCTCAGATTATAGTTCTGGAAAGGCTGTGGTTCTTTTTAACTTGCTTGATATCAGCCAGCGCCGTCTGTGACACATGCCACTTCTCTGGTCCTTTGAAGATTTTTGAGAGCTCCTCTCGCTCCAAAATGCTTACTTGAGCAACGCAAAGGGATTTGTCTTTTAAAAGCTCACTCCCTATTATGTAACCATGTAGTCCTGCCACTCTGTCAGCCAAACCTTCCCATTGAGAGTGGCGTGTCTGCATTTGCATGTAGTGACATGGTCAAAGGACACCCTGAAAAATCTACTCCCTGAGAAACGATAGAAGCGAGGCAGGGAGTCTCTTGGAAAAACTTAGGTAGCCACAGACTTTCCCTACCAGCCCACAGGATCCTTTCTGCTATGCAGTCAGATTAAAGACACAACCAAGCAAAGAGCAGCAAGATCACCAAGAAGAGCCAAAAGCAGCATGTTGCTAGTCGCTAGTTGATATAAGGTCTGATACTTAGTAGATAAAACAGGCAAAAATCCATGCAACTTTCTTGACCTGAACACCCTCATTTCTGTTAGGTAAAAATTTCTCAGGCTCAAAACCAGCTCTTTCCATGTGCTTATAAGTTTTTGTCAACTTGACTCAAACTAAAGTCACCTGGAAAGAGGGAGCCTCAACCGAGGACTCTGTCCTTCCCATGTTGATTTTGATCAAAGTCTTTTATCACAGTAACAAAGGAACAAACTAGAACATGCTATAAACCACACTTTCTAATAATTCCACTCTTTTTTATGTGAACAAAAGTGGAATTACACATACACACACACACACGAGAGAAAGAGAGAGAGAGAGAGAGAGAGAGAGAGAGAGAGAGAGAGAAATAAAGGGGAGAAGAGGAGATAAATCCTTAAGTCCAGCCTCCCATGAGTTCATGTGGATTTCCGTTGGGCTCCATGTATGTTGGTGTGCTGTGGATTAACACAGAGACGTATGAAAAAAAATCTCAGTTTTAATGGTAGAAAACAGTCTGTCTCACCAATTCCCCCTGACGTTCCGATTCGGATGATGGTGACGTCACAGCAGCGTGCATGGTGGAGTAATTTGATGAGTTCGTGGAGCATAATAGAAATAGAGGGGATGCCCATCCCGTGCTGTTGAGAGAGAGAGAGTCGTTACACATCTCACACATGCAGAAGTGAGCAGGACGTATTTTTTCTTCCTTACAAGTTAACAGCCCTTGTATAAATTTACATAATCATTAAGACTGTGACCATGCTCGGGAAAACATAAGTCATCTCTAAGTGATGCCTACATGGCATGCTGATGGATGTGTCTATCTGTGAGGACTTGAGAGAGACATCCTACTGCCAGTTAAACTGGCAAGAACAGAGATGGGAGGGCCGAGTACAGGTGTGCCAGGGCAGGGTCAGCTTTCGTCTCCCTATGAGGCTCTTGTCAACGAACTTCTGTGAAGAGCCTCCCTCTTCATACACAGTTGACATGGAACTGAAAAGACATAATTTTGGCTGCCATTTCACCAGTCTTACTTCACCCTAACCAGTGGAAAGAAACAAACCCTTTTGTTCAAATGTAGCCTCAACCGTTTGTTGCTAATTCCATGTGAGTTCAAAGGACTCTAAGGGAGAAACTTGGCTTCAGTTTCCAACCTGCTGTGGGATAACCCTTCTGTACGCTGAGTTCATATACATATATGCTGTACACTGTATATGTTGCTCTCATTGGCTGATAAAGAAAACTACTTTGGCCTATAGCAAGGCAGAATATAAGCTAGGTAAGTTAGCCAAACTGAAGATAGAGAGAAAGAAGCATACTGGTAAAAGCCACAGCTTTGTGGTAATATATAGGTGAATAGAAATGGGTTAATTTAAATGTAAGAGCTATTTAGTAGTAAGCCTGAACTATAGGACAAACATTCTTTAATTTATATTAAGCCCCTGAGTGATCATTTAGAAGCAGTTGCGGGATGGGGAGGGACAGAGAAACCTCTGTTTATACCACTCAAGAGTTTGAAGCTTATGCCGAATCCGTGAATCAGTTTAAATTGCCATCGATCATGACCACAGCCTGGTTTAACTTAGCATTTATCTCAAAACAATCACAGTCACCAGACTAGGGGGTCACTTGACACAGGCTAGAGGATTTAGCCATTTTCGGTGGTTCTGTTACATCTAACAAATCTTCAGAAAGACCTTCCATGCTGTAAGTTGTAGAAACTGGAGTTGAGTTTCAGTGGCGGCTATTGCACTTTTAACATGATGGCAGATATGTTAATATGTCCATGGCCGTAGAGACTTAGGGAAACCACTAGAGCTTTGGTCGTGATGTCCTCAACCTGAGCTCCCTCTCCTTTCCTTTATCAAGAATATTAAACTGTAGAAACCAGGAGCCTCTGGGGTCACCATTCCTGCCCCCCATTCAATATGCCCTGATTTCTGAAAGCTTAGTAAGCCTCCTGGACCCAGGAATCAAATGTGCATTGATCTATGTATTCAAGATTGGCAAGTTTGGGGCTTTGACACTCGCTCTGCAATGAATTAATAAAATACCATTTGCTGCAACTGTAAACTAGAGGATGAGCTATTGTTTTATCTCTTAGGTTCTTCTAAACCAGCCATTTGTTAACCTAGGCTCAGAACTTATGTTTCAGTGTGATGATAAAATTATAAATGGATTCTTGTGTTTCTCTTGCAAAGAGGTCTATACTGGGAACCCCATGCCTGCCTAGTATTCCTTTTTATTTTATTTTTTCTTTATTTTACATTCCAACCATGGTTCTCACTCCCCCTCCTTCCTATTCCCTCCCTCCTCCCCTCCTCCTCCTTTTCAGCCCACTCGCCATCCATTCCTCCCAATGGGTAAAGGCTCCCACCGAGAGTCAACAGAATCTGGTCTGCCTAGTCTTCTAAGGAGCTAGCCTTGACCATCTGGGCCATGTTCCCTGATAGAACACAAGGTTACCTCTGGCTTTGTCTTATGAAGCTCTTCTGATCATTTAGAGTAGTTTCACTTTTGGGATAAATTTTAGTTTTTCTTTCTCCATTTACCATACAAGATAGGACAAATAATTATAGTTCAAAGGATTGTAACTGAAAAGTTAATAGGACAACATCAGGGAATATTTAGCTTCTTCTAAGGCAGATAATATATAATTTTTTATTGAATGAACAAATTAATGAAAGAATGGATTCTGCCATTAGAAGCCAAAGCAGGGTTTGGGTACTCTTGTCCTAGAGGGAATACCAACTTCTCTACCACTGTAGTATTCTATGTGTTTTCTTTTGTTACCCAGTGTTCTCAGCTCTCCTTACATTTCATCACTGAGTAATCTGAGCAATTTTAGAGCTCAATGAATCATGACTGTTCCCTCATATAGAGGGCATTTCCAGCTGAGGTCTTCAGAATTGTCTCATCTATGCAGGTCTTACTCACTGTCCGCAGCTTATGCCCTTTGAGAGGACCACCATATCCAAATACACGCCAGACTCAGCATTTTACTTCTGCATCCAGCCGTGCACGGAGGGCTGAGGCAGGCGGAGTGAGTGGCTGTGCACAGACACCCTTCTCAATGCTTTCTAGTGGTGGGAACTGCTCAGAGACTCATTCTGCCTTCACTTCGTCTTTAGACAAACAGTGTCCAGAACAGCTCTCAGGTTCTAGAGAGGAGAGCATGCCACACGAGGTCTGTGGAAATGCGCTTGCAGCTTCTTAGCAAGCTTAGTCATGGTATATTCTAACGGTACCGAGAATTGGCCTCTATGAAAAATTCAGTGTTCCTAAAGCTGGATAAAGGACAGAGGAAGGAAAATGGCTGGAGAGGGAAGCATGTTGATCAATTAAGAATAGAAAGATGGTGAGCCTTGAAGACCATTGTCCTTGCCTCAGACAGTTAAGTAGTAAGTGAAGTGTAAAGGTAGTGGTGACCCTACAAGCTCTGTCCTGCCCTGGAAACCTTTTTCACTGTGCCAACCTCTTCACTTGCATTCCTTGTACCGGTGAAGGCAAGGCAGAGTTGGGGGAGAGCTGTGTTCGGAAGGTATCCCAGCTTGGGTTCCAGCCTGAAAAGGCTGGCTGGCCTGCAGCTTTCCCGTACTTACACTGATGGAAAGCACAGGGCCGGTCTTGAACATGCAGTATCTGTCTGTTCCTGCGCAGATGTCTTCAATGTCTTCTCCATCTCCCTCCAGCTGGAGTTCCTTGTGCATAAACTGTGCAAACGCTTTCATTCTGTTGGGGCTCCCACCGACACAGACGAACTGTCAAGAAGAAGGAAAAGGAATCTGCCATCGTCACTCTGATAAGAGCAAGGGTCAACATTCAGTACGAGTGTTTTTTACTTTGCTATACAGTTAATTTACTTCTGAGCATGGGCAGAGGTCCTGGGTTGCGTTCAAAATTTGGCTCATTTGCATCATTAGCCTGAAAGAAGGCAACTACGTGCAATGAATTATGTACTGACCTAGTGAAGAAAATCATAAGTGCTGGCATTGGTCAAGGACGTATTTCCTGGTGGCTTTGTTTATAGTAACATCAGCTTGGCATTGCCATCGATATAATCACCCTAGTGGTGGCGGACACTCATACGACAGATGTTCAGTGCCAAGTCCTGAGGACGTGGACCATAAGCGAGGGGAAAGTAAAGGGACAGTTGCCAGTTTTACTGTGTTGTCTGATTATCTGTCCTAACCTTAGACTTTTATTTTAAATGTACTATGATAACTTCGGGCTTGACAGGACTCTCATCTCAAGGCCTTTCTGCTCTTTACTGAGAAAAACTCGTCATGGAGCAGGGCTTATTGTTAAGGTCAGAAGTCGACTGCAGGATTTCATCTAGGCCACTAATTTGTTTTTCGTATTGTCTGACTTTGGGGCAGATGTTGCCGTCAATAGGTTGTCATATCTATTCGAATATGGTGATCATTGGCATGCCTACACCCAGCATTCTAAAGTTACAGATTTGTGAGTTTGAGCACAGCCTTGGCTGCACAGTGCATTTGACCAAACTAGAACACAGTGTAAGACCCTATACCAAAAGTGAATTGTAATTGCTCATGTCACAACTTGTTAGGGCTACACCAACCCCAAAGACAGAAGAATACTCCAGAGAGAGGGAGCAGAGTGGCCTTTTGCGGGCCTGCATGAGAAGGCAACTGGGTGAGCTCTAGGCAGGGGTCAGAAACAGAGGATGCGCAGAGCATTTGAAGGTCGGGAGGAAGCAGAGCACACAGATGCTGATGGGCAGAAAACCGCTTAGCAACAAAAGCCACAGGGTGTGGTGCTAGTGTGTTGTGATATAGTGTAGGAGATGTGGTGTGTGTGGTGTGGTGTATGAGGTGTGTATATGTGGTGTGGTGTGAGAGTTGTGTATATGTGGTGTGAGGTGTGTATATGTAATGTATGAGGTGTGTATATGTGGTGTGGTGTGAGAGGTGTGTATATGTGGTGTGAAAGGTGTGTATATGTGGTGTGGTGTGAGAGGTGTGTGTATGTGGTGTGAGGTGTGTATATGTAATGTATGAGGTGTGTATATGTGGTGTGAGAGGTGTGTATATGTGGTGTGGTGTGAGAGGTGTGTATATGTGGTGTGGTGTGAGAGGTGTGTATATGTGGTGTGGTGTGAGAGGTGTGTATACGTGGTGTGGTGTATGAGGCATGGTGTAGGAGGTGTGTATATGAGGTGTGTGTATGAGGCATGGTGTCTGAGGTGGGTATGAGAGATGTGGTGTATATGTGGGGCGGCATACACAGTGTGGTGAATGGAGTAAAGCCCAGAGAGCAGATGCTGTGAAATGCTGGAAAGCCACCATTTGAACGTAGAAGGCAAAACTGGTTTATCCCTGATTAAGTAACTTCCTCAGTGACACATGAAAACGTAGAGTCCTCAGACCACCATCGTCAGAGCTCTCAGGTTTAATCAGGCTGAAGTGGGCTTGAATACGGAAAGGAGCATGCATAGATCCTGGCACCTTCTCAGTGATCACAAAAGCGGACTTCTCCTTTGAAGATCAGGCAACACTGCCTAGGCCTGCCCTTTGAGCTCACATCTCTCTACTGCAGGATTCAGGAAAAATGAAGCTGACTGGAGCTTTCTAGAATGGAGAAAGATGTTTAGTGGGACCTGGCTGATGTGGGTTGCTTTGGGAAGAGGAGCCAAGGAAGGCTAACAAGGACCTTCACAGGGATGTCTGAGGAATTCCTGCGGTTGTAGAGTGGGCACCCCTCATGCAAAAGATCCACAGGAGTATTGGGTGGTCTGTTTGCATGATGCGTCCTTGTCTCCACTTAACAGTAATTACTGGGAAGCATCTCCATCACAAGACATAACTATTCCTTTTGTCCGGGCACTCTGCTTGTCATCTACCCTCACTGATGTCCTTTCTGGAATGTCCTAGGAGTTTTTCTGGCAGGACCTTAAGGTAATAATGAACAATGGGAGGCAGTCACCAAGGCTAGGGACAATCGAGCAAGGTAGGCCATCGCTTAAGGTGAGCTCCAGCTACTTACTCTTGATTGCTTGTGGACTTTGCCCCTTTCTTGCTATAAGAAGTTATAGTACTTTCTTACTATGAGCAGTTAAGCACCTTCTTACTATGAGAAAGACAAATTCTAAGTTCAAGAAGGCCCCTTTTTATATACAAAATACAGTAGTTTGAAAATAACTCCACTGTGTGGGGCCAGTACATCTTAAATTACAACGGTTCAGATTGACCATAAAACCAAAACAGATGTTAGAATAGTTTGCGGTTTGGGTTCTGCTTTGAACTGTAGCTATTGCAGGAATCAACAGGAATGCCTGCATATTTCCTCGAGACATCAAGATGACAGGCGTGGACAGGAGCAATCTAGTTCCTGACGTTGACTCCTAAATCAGACTCACTAAGCATCACCTGCAGACACAATTGCCAGTCTGGCTGCTTTAATGAGGAGTGACGTCCCGCTGAAGACTGCTGGCCAACGCTAGTCTCCAGTGCCACTGACTGTGACCTATGTTCCAAACCAAACGAGCTTTGTCCAAAAGATTTGATTTCTCAAAGTAGGAAGAAGCACACTGGGTGGGAATAAGAAGCATTATAAAAGTATGTTCAGGACTTTGCCTGGTGATTTCCAGAACAGACTCGCCTTCCAATATTCCCAGGCGCTTAAATGATTTTGCCAGGTTGCATTAATTTAGAGCATAAATACAGCTTATGTATTCTGTATATTAAGAAGGACTGTAAACATTTTGAATGCATATTGTGAAGTATTATGAAGCAATGATTTTCCTTGTTACTTAAAATTCTGAAGACACTATGCATTTCAGAAGCATGGCCCAGAGCCTCCTGACTGCTCTGAACGGCCCCTACCTGAAGATGAGTTTTCCTGGGACCAGAAGGCACCATACAAACTTGTAAAGGAGGGGGGCAACAAGAAATCATACCTAGCTATGATACCTGGGAGGCACATCAATGACCAGGGTGGCATGGTAACTTTAAGAGTGAAGTAGTGTCACGCCTGCCTTGCCACTGACCAGCAGCTCTTTAATTGGACTTAGGACACACTAGACAAGAGGGAAGGTCCTGGAAACATAGCTAACTAGTCAGAGCTAGGAAAGTCATGGTCACTGGAGGAGAATCTACAAATGCTAATTTACTAAACCAGCAGAATCCCTAACAACGATCTACAAACATTTGTCCTTATAGCCATAGGTAAGTGTAGTCTTTATCCCTCATCAAGAAAACTTCTTTTTGCATCAGATGGGGAACCCTACAGAGAACCACAGCCAGTCAAAACACAGAGTTGTGGAGCCCAGTCCCAGTGGATACATCTACAAAGCATTCCTGTACCTAAGGCTCCAGGAACATTGAGAAATAGGTGATGTGAAAATCGTTAGAGCCAGAGGACCAGGGAGTTCGTTGGGAGACTGTATCCCCTAGTAACACCAGAAGCTGCTCTCATGAAGTCTCACCTACATGGCTACCCAAATGTGAGGAGAGAGAGGACGACACTAATGGGCATGCAAAGGTGGGTGGAGAAAAACCTCAATCCAGCACAGAGAACGGTAAGCAGCTGAGGAAAGCTGAGATCAGGAGAGGTGTTTTTCCCCGGGGAAGAATACCAAATGGTTTGCTAGTGCCAAATAATCAGCCCTGAAAATACATGTAAGCAACATTATATTAACTTAACCAGACAATATTTAGAAAGAAATACATATACATACGTATATACATACATATGCATGCAATATCAATTAATGAAAACGGAGGTCATGAAATTGAAGAAGAGTGGGGAGTAAGAAGGGCATATGGGAGAGTTTGGAGAGAGAAAAAGAAATGGAAAATGTAATTATAGTATAATCTCGAAATTAAAAATAAATTTAAAATTTTGGATGAATTATGGGGTGTGACAGTGATTTTATAACAGATACCTACAAAGACATGATAAAATATGTAGTTAGATACTGAATCTGAGAAGCATCTTTCTAGCACCTCCACCACAGTTTGCAAGAGATTCCATCTCTGGTGAGTATGGCAGGGACTGATGAGTCACATGCCAAGACTCTTCCCTTTTCTTCCTGGGTTCACAGTTAGTGTTGACTTCCCAGGTGGACAAGGCCATATGCCTGAGTGCCAGCCACTAGAATATGAGCAGAATTGAAGTGCTCCATTTCCAATCTAGTGCACAGATGCACCCTACCCCCATCCCACAAGGAGGGCATATACATAACTTCAGTCATCTGTAGGATGGGGGTCAACAGCCAGGGCCCAGGTCTTGGCACCTCCACTCGACCTGATCAGCCACCAACCAGGTGCACCTGCTTTATGTTTGTTCTGAATTAAAGATCAACTTACATTGTATTAGGCCACTGAGACTATGTAGTACCATGTAGGAAAATCCCTCAAAATATGGGGAAGATATGAAGGAATAAGGGTGATTGTCAAAATCATTGAGATTTGTTTGTTCCTGTCCATTTGTTTGTTTAAGACAGGACCCCATGTAATACCAGTTGGTTTTGGATTCACTATGTAGGCAAGGCCAAGCTTGAACTCCTGACCCTCATGCCTAAATCTCCCATGTGTTTTGATTGAAGGCATGCACCACCAAACCTATTCCTTTCAGATTCAATGTACCTCCATTCAGATTTAAATGGAATACCCTACCATCTTCTCTCCCTTTGAAGTTAGTGTTGATAATAATTATTACCAATTTTTGAAGAATAAGGTTGAATTTTCAGTTTTGACAGGTTATGCCCTTGCTTTGTAGTCAGAATTGCTAACCTATGACTTAAGGGAGTCAAGAATTCAAACTTACAATGTTCTCAACCTAACATAAGAGAGTGCTGGATGAAGGTACATTTCTGAGGGCAGAATCTGTAAAGACAGCCAATTTTATCTTCTGCTTCCAACACTGGTTTTGTTCTGATTATAATTCTGTTCTGATCCTACATCTAAACACACTTTTGCCTCCTATCCATCCAAATGGGGTTATGATTGGGGTTGCTCTTTAAAGAAACAAACCTATTTAAATGGAGCATGTCTGCTATCCATCTGACTATATTGGTGTGGGAGTAGCTGAGTGGTTCTGAGAAACAGAGTGTGGCAAAAGTGCTGATGGAAATCCAGCCAGGTGGAAAAGTGGGAACAAGAAGTTCCAGTTTCCAGCGATGAGACCAACAGAGATGAGACCACATACACTCATGTGTTTGAGGACATAACATGCGTGATTCTCATCTCTAAAACAAAGCCATTGGGGCTGGAGAGTTGGCTCAGCAGTTAAGAGCATTGCCTGCTCTTCTGGAGGTCCTGAGTTCAATTCCCAGCAACCACATGGTGGCTCACAACCATCTGTAATGAGGTCTGGTGCCCTCTTCTGGTCTACAGGCATACACACAGACAGAACATTGTATACATAATAAATAAATAAATATTTTTTAAAAAAGCCATTGATCCTATGTTTTACCAACAACTAAGAGAGTAACAAATGCAGGTTTTTTTTTTTTAAGTATATATAGGAAGAATCAGAAACTGTTTATTAGGGAAACCTGGGTTTAACCTCAGCTTGTTCTCGTACTGGCTGTATTGTGCCTCTCAAATAAAGATAAATATAACAAGTGGGCTTTGTTATTGTTTGTTTTTTGGTTTTTTTTTGTTGTTGTTTTCTTTTTCCCTGAAACAGGGTTTCTTTGTGTGATAGCTCTGGCTGTCCTGGAACTCACTCTCTAGACCAGGCTGGCCTCGAACTCACAGGAATGACAAGTGTGTTTTAACACTACATATACATTGATCTCTAGTGTCCTCGTCTGTATAGAAAAGGTAATATCTAGTTTCTAATGTAATCAAAGCCAGACTTTAACTCCTGACTCTCCTGCCTACACATCCCAGGTGTTTTGATTACGGGCCCAGAGGTAGAAGAAAGGAAGAGGGGGCTGGGTAGGATATACATATATATATAAGGTCACTCTGTATCAAAACATCTCCTAGCTTAATGTATTAAATACATTGTGTCTTCATTTGTTAATTAGGCCAATCCTTCTATTCCTATCAGGCATCCTCATATAAAGGTCTTGGGGAAATCACTGTGAGGCATGACCCTCACACCTAACATTTGAATTCAGGTTCAATCTAGTTAATGAGCACCAAAGTTGACTTGATCAAAGATTCCTGGAGCCTCAATACTAGACTGGACAGGTGTGACAGAGGTTATATTAAAAAGACGAAGCGGAGGAAGGAGGTAGGCTGCACCAGGGCAGGGAGCTGCATGCTGGAGAGGATTGGGACACAGGCTGCGCTGATGCCCGGAGACCCAGCCACACTCACTGCTCCTTTAGAGACGGAGGGAGGAGGCACTGAGCACCGGCGATGGACAACCTAGATGTACTTGGTTCCTTCTTCCTCCCTCCTTTTTACTGCTACCTGAACTCACCCTCTTTATCCTCTCTTTCCATGTCCATCCCCTTTTTAAATTTGGGGGTTTCTGATTTCCCATAACTTAGAATCCACCTGCTACAATGAATAAAATCCCAGGGAACTGGGCTTGGGAGAACATGGTCTAAGAAGCAGTGCTGCCCACTCGGGAGTAACTTTAACCTCCTCTGACTTCTCTGAGTTCATTCCCTTTGACCATATCTGTGAATCATCCTAAACTAATATACCTACATTGTGAAAAACCTTACAAGAAATAATATCCACTTGAGTCCTGTTTCTAATTGAAATATTTATTAAAGGTTGGTTAGTTATAGTTTACATAACTTATGACATGTCTCTTGACCCCATGAGCAATGGATTTCAAACAAAACGAAATAATACGGGAAAATAGTAATAACATAACATTAAACAAAAGTATATAGGATGACAAGAATAGAGTCTCACTTATCGCAGGCTGACCCTGAACTGCTACTTAACCAAAGATGACCTTGAGTATGTACCTCTGATCCTCCTGCCTCGGCCTCCCAAATTCTGGGCATACAGGCTTTCACCACTACACCAGTCCAAGCCCTCAGTCTCATTAAAAACCTTTTAATATTTTTCACTAAAAACTAGATGCTAAGTAGATATGCTCAAGCATGTTGCACATTATATGTTTATAAGAAAGTGTCCTTAGGTAACCTAGTGTCATGTAAAATAAAAATATGCTAATAGAAAAATGTAAAGGAATGAATAAATGAAATAGAAGAAAAGAAAGTAGGCAGATGGTGTCCTGTTCTAGAAAGTAGGATGAAAAGGTATATTTTTAAAAGCAGAATGTTCTTTTCTATGTTTTCCTAATTTTAAATAAAGAGCAAGAATTGCTTTTACAATTTGTGTATAAGATAAAATAAGTAACATAGTAATACCATTCTCTCACTACTATTCCATAAACAATTTCCTCATGAATATTTCTTACAAGGTAGTAAAAATCTTAATGATACAAAATAGACAATGGTCATTCTCAGGAAGAGAATAATAGAGCTTTGTTAGTCTTGAATTCTTTTATGTTTTAGTAAGATGAGAGTTAGTAATGTTCAACAATAAACATAGATGGTAAGTTTTGAACTGAATCTGTTAAGACATAATGAATTCTGAATACCCAACAGCATTGTCAATAAAATTATATTTATCTCTAGGGAACAGAGTGGCCAAGTAATCATGTTTGCTTTGGATTTAGTTTGGAAGCCTTTATGTCTTGTTGGAGTGAAAATGATTGTTCATGATGCTCATGTTCTAAATTAGGTTGGCTTCATGTGCTTTTGGGACCTCTGACATGTCTCTAGGCAAGGCTATGGAGTTTATTTTGGGGAAAATAATAAAAAAAATTACAAAGGAAATAGTCATTTTTCTAATATTCAAAATACTTTTACCTTTACATCCCCAAACATTGCTGGAAGGTTGTGTGTTTTGGTTCCTAAGTCCAAGTGGTAGAGGATGTCTTCATCCATAGCATCCAGGTAAGGATTCTTAACATATACAGATCTTTTTCTAGGGAAAAAAACATACATACACAGAGAGGATGTCAAGACATTTGGAGAGAAAGCACAACCAAGACAAGATAACTGGCTATTCCTGTAATCGCCACTAACATAGCTACTACACACAAACCTCTCAATTAAATTTGATATAGAGTAAATATTTGTTTTACAATTATTGTGTACCACACTTAGAACTAAGCATACAAACTATACCTCGCCAAGGATACTGATGAAATAAATACAGTAGGTCAATACCATAAGCCACTGAGCTCAGACGGTATTAGTGTCTAACCACAAAGAGGTTGCTAGTTGTGGTCAGTGAACTTGGGAATGATCCCTGTTCTATTAGAAAATTTAGGTGAGAAATAGACCTTTGAGGATGGAGAGGTGGATGCAGAGAGATTGAACAGGCTTTGGGGGAATGTGAGTTGGGGTACATCAGCGACAAAGAAAGGAGGACTAGGTACAGGCCTGGAGAAATATAAGTTGGCTAACCAAGAAGAAAAACACTTAAGATGAAAGCGAGGAAAAATGGCTAAGGGGCTTGGAGAAGGTGGGGTAACAGGAGAGAAGAGCTAATCTTAATAAACACATAAAAAATTTAAAATCTATCATCATAAGAAACACAAAATGTAGAAAAAGAAGGTGAGATCAGATGAACCCTTCAGCCAATTACGGTGACACAAACATTTAATCCCAGCATTCAGAAAGCAGAGGCTGACCGTTATCTGTGCATTTGAGGACAGCCTGATTTATATCGTGAGCCCCAGGCCAGTCAGGGCTACATAGTGAAACCATGTCTCAAAAAAAAAAAAAAAAAAAAAAAAACGCAAACAAGCAAAATGTTTTTCTGTTTTATTTTAAGGAGAGGCCCTTTAATGTGGAATTTAATGTGGAAATATCCAGTAGCATCCTTCCACTGGCAGCAGAAGAGTGGGAGAGGGGTACACAATGGAAAGACAGATTTGCCCTGGAGAGGGAAGAATAGTGGGGGGCCTAGAAACCCATAGCTCCATCACCCAGGATGTTCCAGCGGCTCCCCATTTACCCTCACATCCTGAAGCCAACATCCAGCTCAAGGCCTGAACACAGCACCCATCCTGCTCATGCATGGCTGCCAGACCCCTGCCGCTCCCCACTGTGTCCTGCACAGGCAGCACTGTGTGGTCCCATAACAGTGGACCACGTGCTGCAAAGAGGACGCCTCCCTGAATCTCCGTTTCTGCACACTTCTTGACTTCCTCCGTTCCCTGGTGTGAACGCTTGTGTCTGGGTGCACTTAGGGAAACAATTTATGAATCCCACGGTCTCATTCATTTGCCAGCATTTCTTGCAAGTAACCATGAAGAATTGCCTGGGTGGATCTTCTTTCAAAAACCCAGATTTAGATCTCTCTCTCTCTCTCTCTCTGTCTCTCTCCTCCGCCCTCCTGCCCCCATCTCTCCCTGTGTACACACATCATTATGACATTGGCCTATGAGAACATGTTGAGTATCTTTGCCTTTGAGAACCCCACCAGCCATGCTGAACATAGGACTTCCTTTCCACCTAAGGCCCCTGACCCAGCCCCCATCCTTCCTTTCTCATTTGGCTAATGGATGTAAGACAAGGCAGTGAGCTGCCCCTGCAGGTGGGAGATTAATTCAATCTAACTTAGATTTACAAAGCACACTCCTTACTGCCCTGGGTGACTTTATCATAATATACTTCTTTGGTTGTCAGTGGTAACAAAGTATCTGTCCCGTGCAAGACATCTTGCAAAGAATCATCTGGACATTCTTTGGAGCCCTGCTTGAAAATCCACTAGTGACCCAGCTGAAATTAATTGGATGCTCAAAAGTATTTTTTTTGTTGTTGTTGTTGTTTAATTTTGGTAACTCACGTGCGGCCGATGGCGAGAGCTCCAGCTCTAAGCCTTTGCTCACGAACTGCTCTTCCCAGTGTCCTTTCAAGACTCACTTATCAAAATCCTCCTCATCCCTTCAGGCCAGCTCGACCACATCTTCCAGGAGCGTTTTCTAAGCAGCCGTTATCCCTAATCAATATCTTTCCCTCGCTGTGCTCCTACCGCATCTGTTCTGTCCTAATGCTGTCAAGACGCGGTTAATTTTCTGCCTCCTCAGAAAGACTGTGGATTCCTTGATGCAAACTGTCTAGTGCATCTCTCTTTAATCTCTAAGACGTTACAAATCCGATTTGTGAACCTAAATTTAACCGTTCAGAAAGTGGAACAAAACACTATTAGCCTTTTTTTTTTTTGTCCCCCTCCTTAGAAACGTTAGAAGTAACAGGTTCTTAATTAATTTGTGAATCATACCTCATTCAGGGGGGTGGGGGGAGAAGAGGACGCCATGGTGTTGCGCACTGTCCCTGTAGGACAAGCTCCTGCCTCAGAAGCCGAACAGTACCTCCCTGCTGCAGAGTATACTGAGTGGAAGCTTTGGTGGGGAGGTGAGGGCGCGGGCATCACAGACTGGCTCAGGAACCTGGTTAAAAAGGCAAACCACATTTCCACCGCAGAACCATTGGCTCCAAACCTGTATCTTAGCAGCCACTAGTAATCTGTGTGCACACGAGAGCTGGAGAAACACTGCCATGCCCTTTCGCTTCCAAATTCAATTCGACTCTTTATTTCATTCCACCAGACTGATTTCAGGACCACAAGAGCTTCCTTTGGATTTCCTACCGCGTCTTCAAACCCTAAGACCATGAAACACACTCATTCATCTCCAGCCACTCCTAAACTGCTTCTCGGAATCACTGGGGGAGATTTAAAGCCTCCTGGGGTCTGATATTGACAGAGATTTTTGTCTCCTGGGCCATGAAAAAGCACTTCTAAGGCGTCCGTTCTGTCAGCCACCAAAGAAGTTTTTTGGCCATTTGAATCTTTTCAGGTTCCATACAAATTTTAGGGTTGTTCTATTTCTGTGAAGAAAAGCATGAGAATCTTGATTGGAACTATATCTGTAGGCCACTTTGTGTAGCATGGACACGTCAGCAGGATCAAGTCTCACTGCCTACCAATGTGAGCTTCCATTCATCTGTTTATGTCTTCTATATTGTCCTGAGTTTCTTTCATCGCTGTTTTATGATTTCCCGTATACAGATCTTCTCAGTTTATAGACTGCACTCTACTCAGTTGGGATTGTTTTACTAAGTTCATTTCCAGGGAGTTTCTTGTTAGTATATAGAAACAATGTTAATCTTCAATGGCTGAGTTTATAAACTATGGCTTCACTGAAGGCGTAAGTCACGAACAAGGCCACACCAGTTTGGAGTTATGATTAATAGGGTGTTATTTATTTAAAGGGGAAAACTTACAGATCACCGTCCCAGACAACAGCCATCTGCACAACCAGGAAGGGAGTCTAGTCTCCGGCGGAGCAGGAAGTGAAGAGAGTGAGCAGAGGAAATAGCCACTTTTTTAAAGGGAGAGAGACCATGCCCCAATGGGCTGGTTTCACAGCAGCTATTGGTTGGAGGGGCGGAAGGACCTCCCGCAACACTTCACCACATTTATTAGTTCTAATAGGTGTTTGGGTTGCTGTTGTTGTTGTGTGTATGTGTGTGTGTATTATCTTAGTGTCTTTAAAATAACAAAGCTTGAGACACCACAGCCCTTGAGTAAAAATATAAAGCAATTGTAGGGACTGAAAAATAAGGCACAAGGCAGTGTGCACCTATAACATGGAACTAAACTCTAACCACGTATTGGAATCGCTAGACAGACTTTAAAGAATGCTGATACCTCAGTCCCTTTTCGGGTTTTGTGATTCATTTGGTCAAGGACACCTGGCCTTAGCACTTTTAAATCTACTGATCTCCACCATTTCTGTGTTTAAGAAGAAAATCCCAAGAAACATAGCCATAAATTGCATTCTCTTGTATGATGCTTGTTATAATAGTACCTTAATGAGTGGTTCTCAACTTGTGGGTCATGAACTCCCACGGGTTGCATATCAGATATTTACATTATGATTCATAACAGGAGCAAAATTGCAGTTATGAAGCAACAATAAATGAGTTTATGGTTGGGGGGTCACCACAATGTAAGGAACTGTATTAAAGGGTTGCAGCATTAGGAAGATGGGACCACTACCCTTAATACACTTTGAAGATATCCTTTGGATTTCCTTGATGTCCAATTGCTCATTAGAGAAGCTGAGACAGAATGATCCTAAGTTCAGGGCCAGTTTAGGCTATACAGAAGGTTTCAAGTCAGCCCGTGCCATACAGGGGGATACTGTCTAGAAGCAAAAAAAGCAAACACACACCCACAAGTGACTGTAATCAGAACAGGGTGACCCTGACACATCCATGCCAGAAATAAGATGGTAGATCCGGAAATAGACCCGGTTATTAATGGAGAGTTGGTGTTTGACAAAGCTGCCAAGAACACACAATGAAGAAAGGAAAAGCTTCTCAATAAATGCTGTTGAGAAAGTTTGATCTCTACCGGCAAAAGAATGCAACTGAACCTAATCTTGCACCATGTCCAAACGTCAACTCAGAGTAGACAGTAACTAACATGTTAAGACCTAGACCTGTGTCACGAGAAAGCCACAGAGAAAAACTGCACCACTTTGGTTTGGAAAGTGGCCGCTCAGTTAGGACTCCGCAGGAAAACCCAAGTAAGCACATAAACAAGTAAATGGGATTGTACCCAACTAAAAACCTCCTGCATACCAAAGAAACCATCCTTAGAGCGAAGAGATGCCCCACGTGCTGGAAGAAAAGTTTTGTAAACTACACAATCAACGGCAGCCTATCATCCAAATTTCATAGCCCAATAGCAAAGAAGTAAAATATGGTTAAGCGAAGCCCAAAGATTTGGACAGACATTCACTATTGTGGGATATTATTTTATGGTGTGTTACATTGGTTTACACTGTGGAATATTTGTTTAATAATGCAAAGATATTTTGCATTCTTTAAGGCTGCATTTGTTTAACCTGTGAAGCTGTGTTACTTTACCTGTCTTAAACACCTGATACTGAACGGCCAACAGCAAGGCAGGAGAAGGGACAGGCAGGGTTGGCAGGCAGGGTTGGCAGGCAGGGAGAATAAATAGGAAAAGAAAACTGAGAGGAAGATCGAGGAGCAAGAAAAGAAGGGGCTAGCCACACAGCCAGACAAGGAATAAGGATAGAAAAGGAATACAGAAATAGAAAAAGATAACATCCCGGAGGCAGAAGGGAGACAGGATAATTTATATTAAGAAAAGCTGGCTAGAAACAAGCCAGGCTAAGGATGGGAGGGCATTTATAAGTAAGAATAAGTCTCTTATTTGGGAGCCGGGTGGTGGACAATCCCAAAAGAGCACCACCATTAATATACAAAGTTTCTCTTGTCTCTAGACCTTGTCAACATCTGTAATCAGTGGGCTTTGATAATGATTCTAATGAGTGTGAAAAGATAGCACATTGCTTTTGATTTTCATGTTCCTAATGACTAGCAATATTGAAAAGTTTAAAATATACTTGTTGGTCATTTGAATCTTTTGAGAATTGCTGTTGGTTGTCTTTCACTCTTTACTCTCTTGGTCCTTTTGCAGGGCTGAGGATATAGGTCAATAACAAAACACTTATCTGGTATGCATGAGGCCTTGGGGTTCAATCCCTAACACTGCAAGCCAACCTAACAAACAAACACACAAAAACTGACCAAGACTTTGTGCCCATAAGTATATGTCAATTATCACTTTTAACTAAAAGCAAATAAATGAGTGTCTTTTTAAAAATAGAGGAAAGTCTTGCCTGAGACTTTGCCACCAAACTCAAACCCGTATGAAACTGACTTTTTCCAATACTTTGCTTTTTCTAAAATCTCTAGCTACTGCTAAATAGGCTCACACATACTGTTTCCTCCTCAAAACTTCTTTTCAAACCTATTTTCACTCTTTTTCCAACTCATGCTCTAAATATTGGTCACAAAGACAAGTGCTAGCTGGCTGGGAGGTTTTCCATTTTCCTTTTCTCTCTCTCTCTCTCTCTCTCTCTCTCTCTCTCTCTCTCTCTCTCTCTCTCTCTCTCTCTCTCTCTCTCTCTCTCTCTCTCTCTCTCCCTCGCTTCCCTGAAGGAATGAAGGTGGCAGGAAGGGTCTTTTTAAGCCTGGGAATGGAGCACTCTCTGTATGCTGACATCACAAGACTTTTCGACAATTCTCAGAAAATCAGAGGGACTTACAAAAGTTCCTTAAGCCTCATGAAGGCTAATGCTCTATTATGTTCTGTTAACCTGAGGCAGAAATTAGACTTCAATTTGCAGGCAGCTTGGGCAGATTTATGCCCACCTTTGAGATGAATAACATCCATGATATTTCAGAAGTTGATTCTCTGTCGAGTCTGTCCATCACAAAGCATATGAAATTACCCCCTGACACACTCAACACCGTCAAAACGCCGTCGGCACTGTGGGGCCCTTTCATTATGTCCCAAGTACAGCTTATGGTCCTGGAATTAAATGCTAAATTCACTGCACAGGGACTCCCAGGCTGTACTTTGAGTTTGTCTGCTCCTGTGGGTGGGTTAAACTTCTCCAGGTTTTTGTATGTTTTGACCTACTTTCTTTTTTATGTATTATCACTATGTGTATTATTTATTATGTTTTATAAAGCTGTGTGGGGGTAGACAGGCCAGGAGGCACCTGTGGAGGTCAGAGGACAACTTTTTGGAGTCATTTCTCTTCTTTCATCTTCATGTGGGTTCAAGGGAGTGAACTCAGGTGACCAGGCTAGCTCAGCAAGCACCTTTATCCACAAAGCCATCCCACCAGCCTCTGCTCGACATTCTTACAGGAACCAGTGGGCCAACTCATCCAAGAAGAAAAATTTGCAGAGCTCTCATGTGGCTTGGTATTATATAGGACACTATTCCAATTATTTAATGCCCAACATGAAAAGATGTACGTCCTCTCTGCATTTAAAATCAAATCCCAGAGACACTCATCTGATGGAAACAAGAAAGGATCAAAATTACTCACCCCTCATACGTATTCTTGTCAGGTCTCGTGGATCTATCAGAAGCAGGTAAAATGGATGCCATACTCTGCGGTGCACAGATATCAGGAAAAAGCAATATGATGGCCTGCAGTTAAATTGCAGATCTAATCGCAGCGACGCAGCTCCAAGTTAGACCACCACCTTCCCTGCAAACCTAGGTTTCCTCTGAAGTTTCCTTCTGAAATCTTCCCTTAGCATTTCTGACTTCTCTGTCAGTTTCGAAACACCATCCCTAGAGGGCCTTTTATATGACACCCTAGCTCTCAGAGCATCGTTCCCCGAGAAGATAGGTTCCTCTGGAAGGTGTGACATCCTTCTCTTTCCCCAGGTTGGTTAGTTCGTTAACTTTGATCACTGCACCTTTCCCTGGCTTCTGACCTCGGTCCCACCAGAGGCCTGGCGTGACACAACAACTTATTTGCTTTGAAACACCTGTATATGAGCGTAAGCCAGCTTTCGGCTTCCGTGCCAACCTCATCCAAACTGTGTCCAGTAAGTGTGAGGACTTTCAGTTCTCAAATATTTAGTCTTCCCATCCTTTTTCGCTACTTGCCCATTTGTTTTTGTTCCATGTAATTATTCGTTAGGAAAACATCCAAAGTCAGGACCTCAGAGAGCCCCTCGGTCGAAACTTTGCCCTCTGAGTCCATACAAAGGTCTGATGATTAAACACAGCTGCTTTCCTGGGGCCTCTTCATTTATCTCTAATGTCCACTAAACCATATCTCTGGATGTCAATGTAGCCAGAATAAAGAATTATAGCTTAACATTTTCAGAAAAGATAGTTTTTAAAGAAGTCTATTAATTGGTAGCCTGCTATGTTTGTGAAAACCTGTAATTCCAGCTCTTAGGAGTCCATACAGGAGAACTGCCAGGAGCTGGAGGGCAACCTGGTCTAGAGAGTTCCACAATATATATGCATATAAAGCAATCCCTGCTTGATAAAGAAAGAAGGAATGAGAACAATGAAGGAAAGAGGGGAGGGAGGGAAGGAGAACGGGAGGAAGGAAGAGAAGGAAGGCAGGCAGGCGGGAAGTGGGGGAGACAGGGAGGAAGGAAGGGAAGAAGGGATGGAGGGAGGAAGGGAGGG